CCGCCCCCGCCCCCCGGGGCCCCCCCGCGGGTCCCTGCCCCCAGCTTTGGGAGAGGAAGGGGTGGGCATGGTGTCACACCCCCCCCCTCCTCCACCCACCGCTTCTCCCTTCCCCAGCAGAAATCTCTCTCTCGCCGCAGCTCACCAGACTCTTTCTTTCTGTCACCGCTTTCATAGCGTCTGGCTAGGTGGATAAAAACAGAGGTCTGTTTTCTGTAAAGCTGTTGATACTAAAAGGAATAGCTGGGTCAGTGTGGGCGTTGGGTGAGAACAGAGGCTTACTCATGCAGGGCGCTATTTTGTTGCTTTGGATTTGAAAGCAAAGTTTTTAGGCAGATTTGTTCACAAAGCGCTGTAAATAAATAGGCTGGAGAAGAGCAGAGCGGGCAAGCGTGAGCTGGCGGGGCGCTCGGGGCCGTTTGCTCGCCGCTGTCAGGCGAGGATGGCAAAAGCAGCGTGAAGGAATCCAGCTTTGTTTGGGGGAGGTGAGGCCGATGCTGCACATCGGGCTTAGGAAAAACGCTCCAAGGGGAGCGAGGATATAAAAATCTTTGAACCAGGCGCCGATCTGGGATGTGCGAGAGACGGTGGCCGTGAATCTTGGCAAGCCCTGCCCGCTGCGGTGGGAGCGGAGCACGGAAACCTGGGGACGTGGGGCAGCACGGGGATGCTCTGGGCAGAGCTGGGACCAGTAAAGCAGGTTTGGATTTATGAGCACTCAGTGCCTGCCCCCCCACCTCCCCATACCCACGATATCCCGGGCTCTCCAGCGCTTTTCTGCATGGTGAGGGCCTCGCGGGGGATGTACCTGAGCCTTCTGATACAGGTTGAAAGAGTTGTCAGGCTCTGGAAGGGGCTGCCCAGGGAGGTGGTAGTGTCCCCATCCTTGGAGGGTTTTAAAAGAAGGATAGATGAGGTGCTTAGGGACAGGGTTTAGTGGTGGGATGGCAGGGTTAGGTTAAAGGTTGGACTCGATGATCTTAAAGGTCTTTTCCAACCAAAGCGATTCTATGATTCTATGATTCTAGGTGGGTCCTGTGGTACCTTGTGAGCCAGCTAAGTCCCGCCTTTGCTGTCATTTCACAGCGCTATTTCCAGCTCCCTCGGCCCCGTTTTGCAGCCCC